TAATTTTTATATATATATATATATATATATATATATATATATATATATATATATTTATTTTAGAGATCTTCAGGCTGACAACTAGACGAGCTGACTCTGCGGAATTTAGATCTGAACCACGAGAAACATCTTCAGCCAATCAAAATGCAACAAATTATATAAGTATAATACATACAGAATAAGTAGCAGGTCTACTTAAGAACGACAGATATGCAGTGCAGACTTTATTCCATGAAGAGCAGACATGTTCTTTAACACTGAGTGAACAGTTCACGTTTGATCCGGTTTTACAGCAGGAAGTTGTTGGGTGAGGTGGTGAGCCACAGAGATCTGGATGCATGTCGTCTCACGATCAGTTGGTGGTTGATGATGACGCCCCGAACAATAAGCTCACCCACAGTGAACAGTTTTGAACTCTGGCTTGTTACTTGATGGTGCTCACGTTGTATTGACCCTGTGCACGTTTCTTTAGTTTGCTAACATTGAAATGTGAATTTCATTAGTCTTTTCTTCCTCCCTTCATTCCTCCCCTTGCTTCCTTCCTTCCTCTTTCCCCGTCGTCCTGCTGCAGCGCTGTTAGATGACAGAGCTCTGTGTTAATGAGTAGGCAGGAAACATTCTTGTGTCTCAGCTGCTCAGCCTCCACATTCCTGCACTGAGTCCGAGTGTTTGTACCTCCAGCGGTTGTAGTTCACATCGCTGCTCAGATGTTGTCTCTGTGCACTCTAACAAAGCGCTTTGTAACACGGTAAACATGCATGAACACCGGCTGTCTGTCATGGAAACAACTTCACCAGTTTGTAGTTGGACCTGGACAGACAGATGTTACTTGTCACAGCCTCGTCGCACAACAAAAGCCCCAAGTACTGCATTGTGTGTTTAATGCAAAATAAAATGAAGCACAGAGAAATGTGATGTTTTGTAAAAGCATGGACGATAAAATGATGTCTATTCTTTTTCAACCAGTCAACACTCTTCCTCCCAGATGTTTTAAAATGATGCCATTTGAGCTGCTGGAAGGCTTTTAATGTGAAACATCTGTGCAGGAAGTGGCGGGGTTCATTGATGGTAACCGCAATTCAAAATCAATAAAATGGATGCAAGTGAATGAAAACAACTCTTGTGGTCATACTGATGGAAATGTGGAGAAAGTGTTAAGTTGACATTTATAACATTGAAATAGGAGCTGATCACTACAAAGGAAGTAAAATTAAAGGTGCATGTATTGAATTTGAACCCATCATCCATGCATGTACTTAAATAACTTTTACTGGATTTGAAAACTTTAAAACGTGATGCTCCTCAGGCTACTTCTGCAGTGATAAGAAGCAACGTTTTTCATTATTTCTGAGCAGATTTATGGACGTTTATTGCACTGAACATCTCCGATAACGAATTCCTTTGAAGGTGTGCTCAGAGAAGTTGCTCTTAACTACCATGAGCTGCATGTTACAGCTGCTGCTGCTGCAGACAGTAGTGGTGAGCTGTCAAATCTGCTACTACAATTACTAACATCCAGTTGTCCTCAGAACATCTGCATGCACCTGTCCCTCTCACCTTAACACACTGCACATGTTCCTTACTCCTGAGGGAGTGGCCTCACAGTGTGTAAACCTCTGATATGATGTATGTGTATAATGTAACTTTGTGTGAAGGAAACTGAACTTTAGGTTTGTCTTTTTTTCTCCTGATTTGCGTCCAAGTAGACGAAGACTCCCCAAGGTGTCTTCACTTGAGCATTCTTCATCGCTGTCCTCCTCTAGAGTTCAGAGGTCACACGTCGACAACAATGCACTGACCCACCTCGTGACCTCGATGAGATCACTTCCTGTCCCTTAAGAGGGAGTGTTATTAACACAGGAAGCCCCACGCCTGTTTCTCAGGGTGTGTTTTGTGTTTAAAGCATCGGCACTCCAGAAGATTAACTTCTCTCATGTTGATCTGCTCAGTTGCCTGCAGGTGTGAGGAAATCTCATTAACAAACAGTGTTGTGAAAATGATTCAGGACTCATTTTTTATTCTGTTTAATTGCGGTTCTATCTTGTTGTTGTCGTCTGTTAGCAGAGAAGTCTCAGGTCGGAGATTGTTTAAAAAGCTTTACAAACACTTAAACATTGAAAGAAACAAACATTAAAAGAGTGAATAATTAAAAATAGGATCATACAAAAGCCTTTAACATGACATTAAAATGCATCAAAAACTAATAGAGCTTCAGCCACAGGAAGCTGGAGACTCGTGGCTGAAAAAACAAATGAATGGGTTTGTTTGATTTCGAAGTCCGCTTTCATTTATGTTGAGAACATATGTTATTTGAATATTTCTTTAGCTTGTTTTCTGTTTCACTCTGCACTAAAACATCACATCTGGGACAATTATAGAGTTTATTATGTAGAGTTCTAATGTCAGTGTTCACTAAATGAAATGTAAAGTAAAGCTTGTTGCATCACACTAGTTGTGGAGTTGTTACTCAACACCAAACAGTTTGCCTGCTACGACAATAATAACGCCACATCTCACCCGCTTCAATGTCACGTTTGACTGCTGCAAACCAGTTTAGTAACTTGCGAGTTGTTATGAAGAACTTCTAAGGACACAGACTACAATTCTAAACCATAATATGTTGTTTCCTCTTAGGAGGTTGGCAAAAACTTTTTTTTTTTTTGTTTTTTTTTGTCCCACATTGTGGGCTCACTAATGAAGTGTCTGCAGCAGTACATGTTGTCAATATGAAGGCCGACCGTATCCAGCAGCAGTTCAGCATGAAGGCTCATTCATGGTCGTCGTTATCGGCATCTGACGATCGGGAACAACAGAGGCCGAAACCTCGAGAAGCCGCTCAGCGCTTCGTTTGATGCTGCAGGTTGAAACACGTCCTCTATCAGCTCACGTCCTCTGAAACATGTCGGAGGTTTAGTGAGGAGTTACGGAAGAATCCCGAACAGACTGGGAGTTCTGGACAGGAAGTGATTTGTTTCCATCAGCAGCAACTGTTGTTGTGTTGTGCTCTTAATGTGTGTGTGTGTGTGTGTGTGTGTGTGTGTGTGTGTGTGTGTGTGTGAGAGAAAGACCCTCAGGGAACTGACGCTCACTTTCTGCTCAGTTCTTAGAGCGCCTCGTGTTCCTCTTTCTCGCTGATTATTAGAATTCCTTGCCTCTACGGTAGGAAGTGGAATCTAAATTAAAGGGCAAGTCCATTATTATTACTAGTATTTCTTTTTAGGTTGTTATATCTTTCTCTAGCTTCATAGTATTCAAATCTGAATATTCAAACTCGTGTGTTCTGCAATGGAGCCTGGTGGATTTTAATAGAGCGATATAGCTTCAGTTCCCCATTCCCCCCAAAACAGTAAGTTCACCTTGTGTTGTGATGATTTAGCAGTCCAACAAAACACAAACAAATTTGCAAATATTACTAAAATATAACATTTCCATATTGGACATGCTGATGTATCAGTCAGTAGTAGTAGTAACAGTACTGTGTGTCATGGGTTACATGACCTTAGGCCTGTATCATCACTTGTGTCAACTCACATGACGTCATTTGGAGACGCATTCAAATGCAACCTGACAGATGTGTCCCCAAAGCATCGCTCTTCTTCTGTGTGTGTGTTTGTGTGAAACACGTTTTTTATTAAGGTCACTGCAGTGAATACTATGTAATGATGTCCACTGCATTATTTTAGAGGTTAAATGTCTACAGTGGTTATGAATATTAGTCATCTCTCTCACACACACACACACACACTCTCTCTCTCTCTCTGCCAGTAACAGCAGTGTGTTTGCAGCCGGTCGTTGAGTCAGACTGCGGCTGTTTGCTCGGAGGATGAAAGCGGGACTGACGAGCTCTTTGTTTCTCAACCACGTTGTTTTAAATAGCACTTCCTGTGACTCGGTGACCCGTGATGCAACGCTGCCTGTGCTGCTGATGCGCAGTGATTGAATATCCCCGCTGCGCTGTTTACTGACAGAATCTCTGCTGCAGTTCGTAAAGTCAAATTTGTCAGAGCATCGCAGTCGGGTGAGCAGTACATCAACAGCAGAAGCGCCAAATATTCTCTTGTTCCATCTTCTGAAATGCTGCTCTGAGATGCCTTCAGTGTTGATTGTGAACAATGTAATCTGTATCAAGTACAGGAAGTGACTCCACAATACAGTTTATTACCGGCAGAAGTTCTGACGGATATTCTACACAAATACGACTCGAGTGAGACGTGGCCTCTTGTTGTGAGACCGCGTCAGATGAATCCAAACAGAACTTTTCCGTGACCGCTGCCCGCAGAGGAAATGAACTCTCAGGGAGTTCTCGCTCCGCTAACAAAACAAAATGTGTTTTTAAGAGTTCAGCTTCACGAGAACAATGTGGAGTAATTGGTTCTCGGCCTTTTTTTGGCCGCAGCTGATAACTGAAGTTGATATTGTTGTTGCCGAGCTACAGCAGGATGTGATGTCACCAATCCTGGCCTCGAGCGGCCGACTTCTCCCCCCCGCTGCACAGACTTCATTTGTACCTCGGATAGAAGGGTCTGTGATCCTTGTATACCCCAGTGCTGCATTGAGTCAACACTTCTCTAAAGCACTTTCAACAAAAACTGAACTTTTTGCACCACTGTGGGAATATTTTGCTTAGTCAGGACACTGAACCGTCTGAGAGGCAGAGTGTGGAAGTAGTCTGGGTTCTTCACAGTAGACGGAGAAATTACAAAGAAATATACGACTGTTTGTCGACTCAGCTGTCTGCCTACTTTCACCACCCTCATCCTCAGGACCCAGATGCTCATAAAGTTAATACAAACGTATAACATGTTGTTACGATATGTGCACTATATGATGAATTGGAAGTGGTTTTGGTTTTGGAAACCAAAAGGTCTACACATTTATGGTTTGTTTGATGGTTTAAATAATACAATATTTTAGAGCTTCCTCTTCTTTTTACTCAAACAGACATCTGTATTTGTAAAGCCAATTATTTAATTATTTTGTGTTCCCTCTTCTCTCTGCAGACCTCTCAAAGAACAGACTGGCCGACGTCCCCTCAGAGGTGTGTCACCTGGTCGCTTTGGAGACGTTGAGTCTGTATCACAACTGCATCAGGACCATCCCAGACAGCATCATCGGCCTGCAGTCACTCACCTCCTTAAACCTCAGGTACACACTGTTACTTTTCTGTCTTACGGTGTGAGAGCCGAAGCTTTTCTTCATTCTTTCTCTCTCTAATATATCAGGGAGAACTTGTGGATGTTTTGAGGGTGTTGCATTCTGGGTATGATGCAGCATTCCAGCATCTCTGAAACAGTACTTTCTAAACGGATGCAGATTTTGTGTGCAGGAAAGCCAGTAAGGGGGCTGCACGGTGGTGTAGTGGCTAGCACTGTCACTTCACAGCAAGAGGTTTGATCCCCGATCCCGGGTGGTCCTGTGTGGAGTTTGCACGTTCTCCCCCGTGGCAGCGTGGGTTCCCCTCCGGGTTCTCCCACAGTCTAAAGACATGCCGTCTCTAAATTGCCCGTAGGTGTGAATGTGAGCGTGAATGTTTGTTTGTCTGTCTCTACATGTGCCCTGCGATAAACTGGCGACCTGTCCAGGATGTACTGCTCACTGATCTCTACTGCTCACATCACACAAACACAACAAGAACAAAAAGTGTTTAGTATAATTATAATCGTTACTTTGGGCTGAAAGCAGATGGAGGTTTCCCACGTATTGATGCTGCATCATGGCTGTCATACATACAAAATAATTTATATACATAAATACAGAATGTTTTCATTGTAAAATATTTTTAATTAATTGAAGCAGGGTTTCCGCCAGTGGATTGCAAGCCCGGTGACCCACCGGCCCTAAGCATTGGGGAGTTATGTATTTCCAAGATATTTTATCTCCCACCAGCCAAAGAAAACATCAAATCTCAGTTGCACATTAAACTGAAGCATCAAAAGTTATTTTTGTACTTTTAATTAACTTGGTGTTATTATGACAGATAGACATTTTGGCCAAAGCTATGAAAATAAAACCTAAGTTGAAATAAAAGCCTTTAATTTGAAAGTTTAGAGGTGTGTGTGTGTGTGTGTGTGTGTGTGTGTGTGTGTGTGTGTGTGTG